AGATAAAAATGTATTTAGATATTAATAATCAATAAAGAAATCGAGGCAAGACCTCACTTTTAAAAAAAAAAAAAAAAGATATTCATAATTTCAGAAGTATTCTCATTAATTGCCTTGGATATAGGAGCTAGGTTTTGGATTTAGGTTCTGAATCTGTATCAAGGTCAGAATCAGAAGTATCACTCTCAGCATAATATATTCCAGAATTATGATGATCTATCTTATGCCTCATTGCAACTTTGCTAAGGAATTCAAAACGTTGCAAAGTTGGATTTTGACTATCATGAACTCTAGAAGCATGTTTACCTTCAATTTTTTTTAATCTTTTGGCTGTAATATCATATAATTTTAAAAATTTATTAAATATTCCTGTAGTGCATTTTCTATTAATACTATAGACAGGATTGCATAACTTTCTAGTTGCTATTGCATCTTGGATCCAGGTAAGCAATTCTTTTGCACATTCTGGATTCTTTTCCATAAATAGAAATTGCCAATGTTCAGAATTATTTTTTGCTTCTTCTTTATTTTTAATATACCTAATACAATACTAAGTATAACTAGACTTGTATCATTCAAAAGGATTCAATTCATCAGGTTCATAATGGATAATACAAAGAATGACAACTTTGGCAGATCTCATACTCAACATCATAATTACATCTGCAAGATCTTGTATAGTAGAAATTTTAGTAGTATTGATATTTTGAATTCTTCTAAGTTTTTCCTCTAAGGAAAAGTGTTTGTAATAGGTGGATTAGGTAATCACTGTTTGAGTTGCCTTTTTTGAATTTCATTAGAAGCTCAAGTAACTTTTGGTAATTTGGCATATATATAAATTTGCTTGAAACTAACTTCAGCTTCTGCTAACTCTCTACGAAATTGTGAAACACAAGAACTGGCTGCCATAATTGCTTCATCTGTATTATTTTTTGGTATAGCTAAGTCTAAAGCATGTAACCAAATATTCCACATATCTTTAGTTTTTGCACAATATTGAGCTCTTTCCTTAATAATAAGTCTTTTCTTTTTGTTGTTTGGAACCAGAGCTCCTATTTGATTGTCTTTGAATAAGCACTAACAGAGAGTCTTTTTCACATCTTTACGAGCTTTTTAATCCAGTAGCATAGTACTAAGCTTATTGGCATGAGCACATAATTGAAGCAGGTTTGATTCAGCTGATAGGTTATATTTATTGAGGATCTAATCCAAAATGGAGGTAAAGCTATTAGTTTTGGGTTTTCTAGTTTTTCGAACAGTTGTCATAATTTTTTTTTTTTTTTTTGTGTTAAAGGTGAACTTGTGGTGATACTTTATTGACTTTTATTGGGTTAGCTATTACAACTATTTTTTACAGAGATGAGAGTACAACTAG